CACACACACACACACACACACACACAAAATCAATGAACCAGAGGATAAGAAGTGTGGAAAATTCTGTCATTTGAGACCATCATGTCAAGGGAAATAAGTCAGGTACAGAAAGACAAGTAGCACGTGAGCTCACTCAGATGGAACCTAACAAGTGGATCTTACTGAGGTTGGGAGAATAATGCTTACCAAAGCCTGGGGAGGCAGTGGGGACGGAGGCTGGGGGAGGTTGGTCAAGGCTTGATAAGATAGGTAGGCTGGAGTAGGGAGTTCTGGTGTAGCACAGAAAGGTGGACATGGATATTGGTGATGTGCTGTGATTTTATTTTTATTTATTTATTTATTTATTTATTTTGGTGCTGGGGATTGAACCAAGGACCTTGTGCATGCAAGGCAAACACTCTACCAAGTAAGCGACATCCCCAGCCCCTGTAAATTTTTTGATATGCTAGAAGAAAATATTTTGAATGTTTTCATTCTAAAGAAATGATAAATGTTTGAGAGGCTAGGTGTGTCTCCCCTGATTTGAACATTACATATTGTGTTCACACATCAAAACATCTCAGGGCACCCCACCAACTATGCACATTTTTTATGCATCCGTTAAAATTAAAATCTAAGTATAAAAAAGAGATAGCCTATATCCAACATATCAGTAATCACAATAAATGCAAGTGACTGAATTCATTATCATATTAATTCAGTTTTGTAAAGCCTGTTCACAGGAGACACACCAGAAGCACATAGAAAAGTTAAAAGCAAAAGAGGAAAAAAAGATTTACCAAGAAATAGTACCCATAAGAAAGGTAATATACCTTTATTAAATTGATCGACTTGGGCATTAATATTAGAACCATTATTAGACATCAAGGGGGTAACTACAAAGTCATAAAAATTTCTTTGCACTGAATTTATGACTCTATACTTGAATATTCCTAAAAAATAACCTTATCAAAATTAATATAGAAAATTGATAGGTGAGCAGAGAGAAATGAACACGTTCCCCACACAGATGTGTGAGATTCCAACATAACTGTCGGTGAGAAGACTTTGTAGCACACAGGCCACTTTCTCCAAATCTGAACTGTATGATGGTTAAAACTCAGAGAATAGTTTGGAACTGTCAGTGGAAGGCTGTCGTGAAGATGGAAAATTTTGGAGGAAAAGAATATTTCAAAGAACTCAACCAGCACATGGACATAATGCCCACACGTGTTGAGATTTTAAAATAATTCATGATGAAAAGAGGAAACCTAAAAACATCTTAGACCTGAAGGATAGATGGAAAGGTTGCATAATCAAAATTTGTGAGATGCCCCAGATTCATAGCTAAAAATGACTATAGTAGGAAAGAAGAACACGTGGATATTAATGAGCATTAGACAGAGCACAGGGTGACCCTGGTGTAAAGGGGACCCAGTGCAGAGGAGGCCCTGGAGATGGGACGTGTTGGCTGGAGGTGGGGGCAGCCCCGGCTCCCATCTGGGGGAGAAGCTCTTTACCTGCCTGAGCGCAGGGCACCTGATCTGGGTCTGGGACCCAGGTAGGCCAAAGAGCCAGGGACCAGAGATTGCAGCACTTGCCCCCAGAGGAATGCGTCCATCAGCTCGAGGGGACAGGGAGGTGCTGGTAAGCCCCAGCAAGATCAGGAAGCTGAGATGTGGAAGCAGAGGGACACCTGTGTCCTGTTGTCACTCTGGCCTCCATCCTGCCATCTGGGTTCCTGCCTGGTTCCTGAGTCTCTGCTCCGGTCTCTCTCTCTCTCTCTCTCTCTCTCTCTCTCTCTCTCTCTCTCCTGAGCCTGGGAGAGTCAGGTTTGCTGATTTACAACAAGTGCGGGTGACCAACCCGGGTGTGGTGGCGGTGCCTGTGGACTCTGCACTTGGGAGGCTGAGGCAGGAGTGTTGCTGGAACTCAAGAGCTTGAGGTCAGCCTGGGCCACACAAGGAGACCCTAACTCAAAGAATTAAAAAATGCAGGTGACAACCTAGGACTGTGGCTGGCATCTGGAGTTGGGCAAGTCTGAGGACTGAGCCCCCTGCTGTGGGGTCTCCCCCGACTCCCCATCATGTCAGAATTCTCAACTGAACTGAATTCCTGGTGGACCCTCTGCTGGTGTCAGAGGTTTGGCTGATGTGAGGACATGGCACATCTGGTCACAGAGTGAGTATTGGGTGGGTATTGGGCACTTCAGGTGAGAAACACCCTCACCTGTCCCAGCCTGAAAAATGGACCAAGAGACTCACAGAACAAGCAGGCTTGACTTTAATGACATCTCTCGAGACCAGGTGCCTGTACCCAGATTGGTTACAAGCAGCATTTTATCCCAGAGAGCACAAGATCCCTCTCTGGTTCCTCGCTGGCTGAGTACCCTGGCGCACAGTCTTCCTGGAAGGTCACCGACATTTCACAGTCTTTGGTTGGGTTATTTAAAGAAATACACCTTCCGTGGTCCCCAGCAACCTTGGTCTCCTGGGGCAGAAAGGTCCCTTGGATTGAGTGCCTTTTGGCACACACACAGTTTAGCTCAGGGTGGGGGGCTCCCGTCTGTCAGTCCTCCTGTCTGACAAGGGGCTGTGAATTTTCACACTCCCGTGATACCTGCTTGTGACTTTTCCCTCTGTTCTGCTGACAACCGCCTTTCTCACATCCCAAGTCACTTTTCTTTTAAAGTCAAATACTATATTCTGAAAACAGACCACCAGACTTTCTATTTCTCACATGAGGAGGAAAAAAATTATTTTGCCTACATTACAGATTTTTCAGTTTTTTTTATTGTTTGGTTTGCTTGGCTTTTTTGTGTTCTGATACTGAGGGTTGAACCCAGGGGTGATTAACCACTGAGCCACATCTCCAGCCCTTTTTATTATTTTTGAGACAATGTCTCACTAAGTTGTTTAGGTCTTGCTAAATTGCTGAGGCTGGCTTTGAACTTGTAGTCCTCCTGCCTCAGCCTCCTGAGCTCAGTTAACAGCTTTAATAAAAATATTTGCGATGATTTTCTTCACTAATTAAGTCCATTGTATAAAAGTCAAGCATGTGAATGTATAATTAATTTAAAAATAATATTTAAAATTTATAATAATACAATTATGAATTTTTAAAATTATAATAGATTTATAATTAAAAATAAGTTTTAGTTTTTAATAAATTTTAATTTGTTTAAATCTTAAAACTATTATCATTTTAAATTATTTAAGTAGATAATTAAAGCCAAATCTACAAAATTATGAAAATTCTGTTGGGGGTATAAACAAAATATTTAAAGAAAATAATTTTGGTGATTTTGAGAAGGCCTACTCTTTTGTTTTTCTAATTTTTGAACTATTTAATGATCTTAAAAAGAAATTAGACACTCACATTTCCTAGACCCTCAGGGATGGGTGGACAGGCCATTTTGCTTGCGTTGGGTTCACAAAATAGACTTGAACTCAGTCACTAACTTTGCCTCCAGTGGCTCCATATCCAGCCTCCTCTGCCTGGCAAGGGCATTTATAATGTCAAAATGATGATTCCTGATTCCTGTGGTGTTCTTTGCTCCGAGGAAAGGAGAGTCTGCTCATCTCCAAGGGGACAGTGATAGACTCATTAGTTGGACGTGAAGCTGTCCAACCCCAGGAAGCAAGGGAAGGCCTTTCTCTCTGTGTCGCGGATGCGTAGCCCCTGTATTAACCCATTTTTTTTTCCATTGCTATAACAAAGTAGCTGAGGCTGGGTATCTTGTTGACAGAGAGAGAGGTTTACTTAGCTCACAGATTTGGAAGCAGAAAGTCCAAAGCCAGGCAGCCCCATCTGCTCTGTTGCGGGAGAGGGCCCCCTGGAGGATGGCATGGTGGCAGGAGTGTGTGAGAGAGGGGTGGCATGGGGACGCGGGTGGCCGAGTGCAGGAAGGGTTGTTTGAAAAGAACTCAGTGGGGGCCCCTTAGAACGACCTTCAACCCTCCCTTGGGCAGGACCTCGGTCCCCTCACTCAGCTCCACCTGTTACTGGCTCCACCTCCTAACGTGGCCACGCTGGGACCTCCGAGCTCCCCACACACAAACCCTAGAGGAGGAAGCACGAGCCACAGCAGTCCAGACCTCATGGCCACCCAGACAGCGCCTCCAAGAGACACTCGCCAAGGCGACCGCCTACAAAGCACCTCATCTGCAACGTCAAGACCCGAGCTGCAAATTCAGACTCTGACTTTGGGCTCCATATTCCCTGAGATGGCACCTTTGACCCAAGCTCCCGGCTCCAGACGTCCGTGGACTCTGCAGCCCAGACCCCATTCCTGGACTCCACTTCCAGGGCCAGCGGGACCCGGGAAGCCCGCTCCCCTTGCAGGCCACACCCAGCTGCCCCCGTTGCTGTAAACACCACCTGAGACGGTCACATGCGCTGGTTTGCGTGTTGCTGTGGCTGTTTCCGCGCTGACACAGCAGAAATGGCTGGGTGTAGCAGGGGCTGTCTGGCCCGCAAAGCCGAACCGAAGGACTGTGGGGACGTTTCCGGTAAAGGTTTGCTGACCTCGGCTACATTCCACGGGCCTGACTCCAAACCCCCAGGCCCCATGACCCAGACTTGCGTCCCTAGGGTCCAGAACACGAGCTGGACCCTCGGAAGGCAGACTCCAGACCTCAGACCCGGCTCTCCACGCCAGGCTTCTCTGTGTGCCCAGCTCCAGACCCTGACCCCAGGAGAGACCCCAGTCACACTTCAGGACAGGCAGAGGGACCGCAAGAGACCCCCTGAGAGAGAAAGGACAGACTCAGCCAGAGAGGGGCCGGAGGGAGAGGCTGTGAGAGGGAGGGGTGCAGCTGGACAGAGGCGAGAGCCCTGCTGGGAGTCAGGCACAAATCAGCCGGGCATGGTGGCACATGCCTGTGACCCCAGGGGCTCAGAGGCTGAGGGAGGAGGATCACAAGTTCAAATCCAGTCTCAGCAACTTAGCGAGGCCCTGAGTAACTTAGCAAGACCCTGTCCCCCCCCCAAAAAAAAAAAGGCTATGAATGTGGCTCAGTGGTTAAGCACCCCAGGTCACTCCTTGGTACCAAAAAAAGAAAAAAAGGACAGAATTATCTTAATTTGATATTCTCAAAATCCTTTCAAAGGAAAAGAGAGAAATCCGGGAAGTTGGTGAGAGAATAAGAGGTAGCAATGAGAAGTGGGCACAGGAGACAGAGCATGGAGAGAGAGGTCCCGAGGAGCTGCCTGGGGCGGGCAGGGGACCCCTGCTCCAGGCCCCTGATCTGACTGGAATCAGGGCAGCCAGAGGGAATGAGCCTGCAAGATTGCTCCCTGCACAACGTTCCTGCCAGCCCGGGGCAGGCGGCCCAGTACCCAGAGGCCCCTGAGGAGGTTGAGCAGACCCAGCACAACTCAGGGCAGGACCCAGCAGCAGAGACCCCCCCAGGTGAGCAGCCAAGTATTCTCCCATCCCCAAGTTGCACGTCTGTGCGTGGCCCATGCTCTCTTTGGGTTTCCACCTCTTTCTTTCTGTCTCTCTGTATGTCTCTCTCCCTTTCTTTGACTCAGTGTATACTGAAGTTTTAAGATCACAGTCCCTGGTGCTAGACTGTCTGGGTTTCAATATCAACTCCTCCACTTGCTGGCTGTGTGACCTCAGACAAGTTGCTTAGTTTCTCTGTGTCCCTGTTTTCCTCTCTATGCACCCGGGATAATAGTAGAACTGTGAGGAAAGGTTGCTATTAAAATGAGTCACTGCGTGTCGAGTGCTTAGACCAGTGTTGGGCACAGAGTTGTGTCCTGAAAGTCCTGCTAAAACATCTTTATTTGTGTCTCCGTGTCTTTGACATTCACTAGCCCTGACCTCCTTGTGTCTCCTTCTCCACTGTCCCCATGCTGGATCTCTGGCTCTCCCAACCCTGGTTTGTGTCTCTGTCACCGTCTTCTGAATCTCTTTCTGCCAGTTCACCTTCTCCGTCTCTCCATCTCCCTGCCTGTCCTCGCTGCAGGTGTGGCTCCCACTGACTTCTCCCAGGGAACACTGGACAATGAATGGGGCTTTGGGTTGTCACAGTTGATGTGGAGGGTGCTACTGGCCTCTATCGGGCAAAGACCAGAGCTGCTGCTAAACATCCTCCAATACACAGGGCGGTGCCCAGAGCAAGGGTGCCTGGGTGGGCTGGGGTGTGGCTCAGCAGGGAGCATTGCCTGGTGAGCCAATCCGAGGCCCTGGGTTCCATCCCCAGCGCCACACACAAAAATGTCAATAGCACTGAGGCTGAAATACTGACCTGGGTTGTGGTGTCAGGGTCAGGGTCAGAGCCTAGGGTGGAGAAAGTCCTCCATGGCTCCTGCCCAGGGAGGGTAGGAGGAAGAGGCTACAGGTTCAGAATGACCACACCCCCTTGCCACCAGGTGGAAACAGGAGGATCCCAGTAGAAACCTTTCAGGTCTGGTTCCTGGGATATGTCATTCACACTGTCACAGTATCTGGGTGGCAGAGAGAACATATGGGCCAGGGGGACACAGCTCAATGTCTCTGTGCTTCAGTTTCCCCCTTTCAGAATGAGACAATGTTACAACCCCCCTGAGTGGTGATCTAAATAGACAGGTGAGATAATATATAGGCATGTCATCCCCAGAGTGCCAGACCCACAGGCGAGTTCAAAAATCCTAGCGTAATTATCCTTCCAACCAGTACTGCCAGCCAGCTGGTGCCCTCCCTGAGTGTGTGTGGCAGGGGCGGGAGGGGGTGAGAGGGGGAAGTACAGTCTTGCCACTGTGTTGCTCCAGGGTGGATGCTGCTGGATGTGGCCTTGCTGGGAGTGCAGAGGGGGTCCGGCAGAGTATAACATCCTCATCCAGTGAGTACGTTCTGGTTGCTGGTTGTCCAGCTCTGTGGGGGTCCACTAGTCAGGGTGCAAGACTTGAAAGCCTCTGTCCCCTGCAGGCAGGAGACGTTGCAAAGGCTGAGGACCCTTTTGGGGAAGGGAGAGTGTGTGTGCACAGGGACGCGGGCCTTTGGTCTAGTTTTGAAACTGTGACTCTGGGCGGTGTAGGGGAGGAGGTGTAGGAGAAGAGCGGTCAGACCAGGGGTCTGGGCCTTAGACTCTGAGCCCTACCCAGCCCAGCCAAGCAGCAGACCCAGAGACCCCATCCGTGCTTCAGCCTCCCGATGCAGCCTGCAGCTTCCAAATGCTGACCCGCCCCTAACCACCTAAGCCTTCCATTTGGGCCTGACCCTGCCCCCCCAGGAGGTGCGATTCCTCCTGGAGGATCCCGGATTCGGCTCTCAGGTGCTTTGTCCATTGCCAGCAAAATACTTATCGTCGGTGGCCAGGAATGCACGCTGTACTCCACCCTGGCAGGCAGCCCTGTTTGTGAAAAATGACTTGCACGGCGGGGGCGTCCTGGTGCGTCCACATGGGTGCTGTCCGCGGCGCACTGCTTCCGGAGGCCACTGCTGGCTGGGGCCGTGACATTCGCACCAGCTTGGCATAAAGTTTGGGAGGGATTTCATCATAGCAGAGACAACGGCCCGGGGCAGGACTTGGCCAGAGTGAGGCTTGAGCACAAGGCTTGGCCCAGGGTGGAGCCTTGCAGCAGGGCGGAGGGGCGGAGCCAGGGGTGGGACTCTAGAGGGGGCGGGGCTCGAGGGGCGGGGCTCGGGCTCCAGCGCTGACTGCGGGTGGGAATGAGAAGCCGGGAGGCTGCGGAGTCCGCAGTGATGAGGGCGGGGTTAAAGGACTGTTCAGACCCGAGCTGGACCCAATTTCGGAAGTGCCTAAGAGGAGGATGACCTGAGAGAAGCAGGTGCTCAAGGAATGGGGGGAGCTGCAGTAGGAAGGGCGTTTTCTGAGCACCTTTCAGCCTTTCATTGGCGTCAAGGGCGGAGGCGGGTGATGAAGTCAGGGACCGGGATGGGGTCCGGGCGCACCTGGGCAGAGGTGTGCGTGTAGCTGGGGGCCGGGGTATAGAGTGAGGTCAGAGCAACACTTACCTTGACTGCAGTTTGAGGTCACAGTCAAAAAAATCCCTAATCATACTTGCTGATATAAATAAACATCGTTGTCCTTGTTAAAAATAACAAAATTTAGAGATTTTAAAAAATCACTAATCAAGATTAATATTTTAATGTAATATTTTAAAGAATAAACATTAGTGCAAAAATCCACAATGAACCAATATTTAAATAGAGATAGGACCTGACAGACCTGGGGTCAGGGTAAGGTTAGTAACATGGGTCAGGCAGGGTCATGTGCTGTCTTTACTTAGAATGTGCATAATTTGTTCTTCATGGATTTTTAATTAATTTTTAAATATTATATTAACTATTATTTGTCTTGGTTGCTGGGTGTTTAGGCTCCCTTAAGTGTGGACCTGAAGCAAGGGCCTCGTTCACTCGCCCTAGTTGTTGGGATTTGGGGTGAACTTAGGAGTGAGGGTGGGAATGGGGCTTAGGATGGTCTGATGGGTAAGGTTGGCATGGAAATGAGTCTGGGCATAGGGCTGATGGAATGGGGCTGGGAGTGGGATAGGAGCTGAGAGTCGGTGGAGATGAGGTTGTGGTTGGAATGGGGCAGGATGTGGGTTTGGGGTTGGAGGTGAGGAGTAATTCCATGTACTGACCTGCCCTGGGGCCCCCAGCTCCTACACCATTGGACCAGCCTGCACCAGGCACCAGGCAGCCGGATGATGAAGGCCAACTGCTCCATGCAGCACCCAGAGTACAGCGAACCTCAGGATCCAGCCACCTCATGCCCATCCAGCTGCAGGACCCGGCCACAGCCTCGGACTCCATCAGCCCCATGAGCATCACCTCCCAGTGTCCCCCCCCCGGAACCAGCTGCTTGGTCTTGGACTGGGGTTGGCTGTCCTATGGTGGTTTGGGGTGTGTCTGTCTCTGGGTCCACCTCCGTCCATGGCTGTCCCTGTCCAGCTACTGACTCTGTGTCATCCATCACAGGGAGCATTCTGCAGGGTCTGGCTCTCCCGGTGATGTCCATGATGTCCTGCAGCGCATCCCTCCCTGAGTTCACCCTTCCAGCATGTTCTGCGCTGGTGGGCAGGACAACAAGGACTCTTGTGTTGTGACTGGAAGAGGCAGGGGTTCCGTATGGGAAAGAAGAGGGTAAGAAAAATGACGCCAAATGGGCCTCGCAGCCAGAGTGTCAGCAAGGACTGTGCATGCCCAACAACTGCAGGAAGAGCTGGACTGGGGAAGGCGACCCGCCAGCTGAGTGTGGGATGGCGAAAAGGATCAGAGTGAGAAACCAGAGATCCCCAAGACCAGTGGGCATCTGAAATTGATTACCACCTTGTACTCTGTTGACCAGTGGTCCCGGCCCTGCTCTCAGCCGGCTCAGAGGCCACAGTGTGCCATGCACACACACACACACCTACACACACACACACACACACACACCTGAACACACACACCTGAACCCCGGGCCCCAGCATATTCTTCCTCAGGACAGAGAGGTCACTCCTTACCCCCACTCAAACACAAGACGCCCAGCCTCTACCTCCCCAAACTCCAGACACCCAGGAGCTCCCACGCCCCACCACCAGAGGCCTTCAGGACACGGAGCCCTGCCTCCATACCACCCCCGTGTGGCCCCAGGCAGCACCCTGAGTGGGGAGAGGCACGAGGCACTGCAGGTCTGGCTTCCACATTCAAAAAGGCACAGTGGCTCACACCTGTAATCCCAGGGACTCGGGAGGCTGAGGCTGGAAGATCACAAGTTCGAAGCCAGCCTCAGCAACTTAGTGAGGCCCTCAACAACAACTAAGTGAACCGCGTCTCAAAATAAAAAATAAAAAGGGCTGGGGACGTGGCTCAGTGGTTAAGCACTCTGGGTTCAATCCCCAGTGCCAAAAAAAAAAAAAAACAAAAGAGGAAGAACGTCTCCCAGATTGGGAACGGCACACACAGCCCAGGTCCCAGGACCGGTTCACCTTCCACGGGCGTCCTCAC